TGAGGATTGTCTATGGTTAGAGACGCTGAGAGATATGGCGCAGAATAGAAGTCAGTGGTGCGAATGCTGTACGATCTGTCTATCGAAATCCCATGCCCATTAAGAAAAACGAAACATCAAACAACAAAAAAAATTGCAAAAGGTGTACGGTGAAACACAAAAAAAATTCTGTTATCTTGTATTTTCCATGTTTAACTATCTCACCAAGTGAATAGTTCAGCAATCCGGCCGGTGCCACTATGCGGTACACACACGGCTATTATAGGGTGGGGGTGGCGCAGTGGTTTAGTCGCTGTCACTGGCATGCTTTGTACCCTATGGTCCGAGGTTCGAGCCCCGCCACCCAAATTTGTTGGTAGACAGCTTTGCTGTCGTCCGGTCCAATACCACGTCTAACCTAGCGGGGCCTTATGTGGTTCACCACTCCAAGTTCCGGGGCTTAGATTGCCGGTTTCCGTGACGGGGCAGCAGGTCTTCTTGACTATGGGTTTCGCTCCGTCTGCTGTTCACTACACAAATGTGTGTAATAAAAAAGATAGATGCAGATCACAGCGATGTTTGAACGCCGCATCATTGTATTCCTAATCCACGTTTGACGAAGATCACACTGTACCAACCAAATTCTCATACAAATACCCCGGTAACATTGAAAATATCAAGAATAATAAAAGTCAACCACACCATGCGAACCTGCGTCGATGAAGACAACAGTTTACACCATTTTGAGGATCTTCATGCGATTCCCTATATTTCGTATGCACAGTTTCCCAAAATCATGCGTGGATAAAACAGATCTCTCATACTACGAATGTATTTTACGACGTGTAGAAACAGTTACTATAAAGATGTCCCGTTGCCCTCAGATTTTAGAGGATTCAGATTATTCGGACTAGCATTTCCAGTTCCTAACATCCATTCTTTTTCGTTTATACTTCCTTTTCATTGAATTGAATTGAATTTTCAGGAGGAGAAAGCGGCAAATCAAAAAGCTACCAAACAACACGTAAATGTGTCGACTGTTCCCAACACAAGGGATCTATAGATAAGTGCGTCCTCTTCACAGTGGATGCGCTTGGTACATTTTTTCTAACGTTCAGGTGATTCACGAAGCTGGAACCACACTACTGAGTAGAAATTTCAGCGGCGGTTTATTACTTTTACTTATTACTTTTACCCAATGAAACTGTGTCAAATGGCAAAGCATGATCACGACTCACAGATCAATTCACACACAAACTCCTGAATCTATTGTGTTGGTAAAACAGTCGACCGCTTTGTGTTGAGCTTTTACTGCTGGTGAAAAACAAAATCACAGTTGTCAGGTGTTGCAAAATGAACTCAACGGATGAAGACAACTGAAACACATTTGATCGAATTGAACGCGTCGGGTTTGAGTTTTCCGGGGAAAAATGAGCGGAATTCAGGCGTTTTGTTCTGACAAAGCGAAAGGTTTCAAGCGTGAAAAATTCACACAGCGTTTTCTGCCAACCGGATCATCTCAGAATGTAGCAACTGATCTCAGAAAGAAGCCAGTGACTGCGGAGTGATCGAGAAGTGAAATCGTTTGAGTCTTCAAGACCCAGCTCAGTTCAGAGAAGAACAAATTTCACTGCTTTCTACTTATATGGTGGATGGACAGAAAAAACAGCTTATTGAATAGCAAGTAACCTTATCATTGGCAACTCACCTATAGATAAATTGACTGGCCTATTCCATTCTTTTTCGATTTCTGCATTCAATTTGCGTAACTGGAGTCGCATCGAGGTACTGACATGGACTGTTTAGAATGCTAAGCTAATCAGAAATTTTGATAGCATGCGAATGGAACATAGATTACCTGCCTTAATTCGTGTGACTGCTGCATATCACTTGTCTCGTAAATCAGTCACTCAGCTTTGCTTAAACAGAGTCTGTTGATTGCTGGATGAAAATTGGGGACCAATCGTATGATCTGCGTAGGCAGTGTGTCCATGTGTCCCTGCACTGTGCTCCCGAGGATAAAAACTGATCGCTTCACGACAAAGAAACTGATTCATTTTGACTGTTTGTTAGTTTAGAGGAAACTTTTTTCAGTGTGATTAGAATGCATCTAGTTTCCAGATGCTTTTAAGTCAATCGATGAGGTCAAAAATATGTCAACTTTTAAACTTTTAAAGCTACAAAAAATGATTGCCTGATAATTCTAGCGCTGACGGTCGTTTGCGTAACTCAATTGCTGGTAAGAACATTCAACCATTGATTTTTCCAATCGACCAGGTTGATACCATTCATGTGGCTTTGGCATGCCCTCAGTCGGAAGTCGCTGAGGATTTTGCCGCTCCAGACAAACCCCTAGTCACTCTTGTCTGGTATTGGGCGTTGGCTGATTGGCCCACCATAACACATCACCATCATCATCATGCTCAGCGTATGACCTTGGAGACCGAGTCACATAAACCAGCAATTGCCGATGGTACTCGGACGGACAGTTTTTATCGTTCCAGTCTATGGAATGTCAATTTGCCCGTGTCCAAACTGGAACAAACAATTCAACCGGTGAAATGGGATCCAGCACAGATGGGTATAGATAGTTCAATGCACAGCTACCATTTCCCGTCAATTCCCTCGAGATGGGAGCTGGTTGGGACACAGATTCAAACTGAGTGAGTAAATTCATCTCCCCCCCCACACACACACCCTTCTGTGTTTATCCCTGTTTGTGTGTGTTCAGGCCTTCATGCAAGTGAATAAACTAGTCTGGTTATTGAACATTGTGTTTTATGCCTGACGATGATTGTCCTTTACGTCAATCAAAGTGTCTTCTACGGTTAGGAAACTAGCGGTGTGGAATACTCGTGTTTTTCGGTTTCGGACAGTATGGACTACCGATTGTTCTACCAGATCGTGCCAAACCGACATGATACCTGCAGTAAAATCTCACCTGACCCACGTTATCATCTTTGCATTTGACAAAAAGGTGCAGGATCTTTATTTTTTAAATTTAAGATGTGAGTAATGGATCATTTGATTTCAAAGGGGAAATTCGTCGTGCATATAGCATATGAAGCGTAAACTGAAAAGCTAGGAAGCACCAGACAGCTTTTTCGACCTAATGCTTCCTCCAACCGAGTCATAACCCCGGAGAGTAGTGCTGAGATGAACGAAGTCCGTGGCCCGCAACAAGCTCACAAAGATGGATTGTGCTATATCGCGTAAATGGAAGGTGAAAAGCAGTCTGGTCAGCTGCCTGGTGGCCGAGTGGGTAGCATGCTTGCGTTTTGCCCATGAGGTCCCGGGTTCGATCCCCAGTTGGGTTGATGGATTCGCACTGCTGATCAGACCCAACCAGGTCGAAACAGCCGTTCAGTGCTTCTCAGCTTTTAAGATGTCTCGATACTGATTTCAAATGTTTCAGCATAAACCTGCTGTCCACGTACTACTTGGACACCCTACCGAGACAAACGAAAATTGATGGTGGAACATGCTAAATTCGAATTATGTTATACTGTATTCCAGCCTTTTTCATTACACATCCTTACATGATAAATCCCAGACGAGGTAACCCCTATAGTCACGAGGATCGGATGGTCACTCGTGGACACCGGAAAACTAAGCTCCTGGGCTTGGAGTGGGAAGCCACATAAGGCTCCGATAGGTTAAACAGACGACATCGAAGNACATCGAAGTTGTCTAACACTAAATTTGACCTGTGGTGATGGCGTTTGAATCTTGAATCTCAGAGCCTAAATCACACCGGTGGCAGTGACGTATACCACTCAACTACAACCGGTTATACCCAATACCGCTATGACCTTGAATCAACGGTTTATCCTTTTTATATTTTTATATTTTCATTTTCATTTCTACGAATGGTGTATCTTGATGAATGACGCCATCTGAACAAACTTAAATCGTCGAAGGAAGGAAAATCATCCTTACTACTGATGAGCTCCCACAAAGTAAAACTTGAATGTAATGCTTACCAATTGTATGATTATTTGGTTGAACTAAAGGTTGTGTGTTTTATTGAGTATGGTGAACACTAGTTGAAGTATACTACCGTAACAGTTTATAAAATATGAACCCAATATAAACCCAACTTTTCTTCTGTGACCCCCCCCCCCGTCCCACTTCATGCTATCTCGATTGGAATCTGAACCGCTATTATGCCCGACTACCTATATATTATTATATTATATACTTCACACACGTCTGACGCCAGATTGTGCCAAACAAATCATGGTACAATAAACTTTATAAAAATAAAAACGTTCCGTGATTTGCACGTGGGCTGAATACTGCCAGGTGGCCCAGGCCAAGGCAGGTGAATTATCTTGAGGAATTAACAACCGGAGCGTTCGGCTAACCAAAGCCTGACCCGCAAGGCAGCGGGGCGGTGTGTGAAAACCGCGATCCATTGGTAGCCGGTGTCCAGTTCATCGGATCACACACCCTTTGCACGGGGTCAAACTTCCAACGTGCGGAATACACCTCAATGCCCAATCGAGCCGGTGACCACTGCCACAACTGAAAAGGTGTGGGTGTGGTTCGTACGCCTTTTCTTATTTGGTTTGGCCAACTCCCCTAGGTAAACTACCAGTGGTTCACCAAACCGGTTATAGACCCGGATGTCGGCTATTCGTCTTCTCACTGTGGTCGGCAAGCGCCTCCTCCACGATTGATGGAAGACCGGTTTTTAGAAAGGTTGATTATGGTAACCGAAACTAATACTGATAAGGAAATTTTCTCAAAACACTTTTATTGCATATCAGGATTTCACTTGTAACATTTCACTAATTCTCTTGTATGCCCGTTTGTTTAGAATTCAAGATCACAATTCAAAGTTGGACGTGACTTTGTTGCATATTCCACCGGTACTGACCAGGGAAACATACACAGTTCGGTGCGAAGTGCTCAACAATGAACCCATGGATGTCACTAACGTGACGTGAGTGTTATGCCATCTGGTACAAACCACTTTCACTCAATCTTGATCAAGCTATCTTTTTCTTCAATCTGTATTCCGAGATCGATACGTGACACACAGTAGCTTTCACCGCCATACAGTGATATTGATGGAATGCGTTCCGCATTGTTCTCGCTCATAATCATGTAAATTCGATGATCATTTTGTTCTACTATGCAAATAAGTCGGCAATCTGATTTCGGACGGCCTGTAAGACAATGAACGATTGCTTTTCGTAGTTGTTACTGTTTGGACTGTGCAGCACGATGCCCCTCTTCGGAACGAGTCAGAAGGCTTACAATAAATCTAAATTAGTTGAAAAAAAACGAGGATGCACCTCAAAGGTTCGGATGGACGCCAATTCCAGTCACACGGGCTTGTAGCCAAAGGATTACTGATCGATGCATTCCCTCCCTCGGTTCTATTCTATTTTCAGAAGAATCTAGACTGTGTACGACCCTATATAAACATGGTGCGATTCTCCAGTATTCAACGCACTTTCTATCGCTTCCGATAAGCGTTTGCAGGTGCCTTTCAACTGTATACGTTGGAATACGTATCGTGGGACAAGATAATTAACTAATTAATCAATTAATTAACTAATTAAAATAGTGCTGTTTTTTTAGCTCTTGCTTGACATGGAGGTCATATTGAAACGATTGAATGAGAGAAAGAAGAATGAGAAGAGTGGATGGGGGGAAGTAGAGGAAAATACTTCGCGTACATGTCTTCTGCTACAGTCCCGTCTACTTTCATTCAGTCTAATCTCCAAATCGCTCTCGGTATACAACGTCTTGTCCCCATCTTGCTTCACAGGACAGCTGACTCATAAGTCGATTGGCAGTGGTTAAAGTTGACATGGATTATTTTGAGACCGAATACTGTACACACTGAGGTAAGAAGGAAGAACCCAGTACTTACTCTCTGTACCTGTGATCAATTCATATCATTCGAAGCTAGAATCTCTAATGATGTCCACACTGGTCCAATCTGGACCATCGTATATGCGTGATCACGATCAGAAACAGCGGCGAATTCAACTTATCATCACGCTCACAATTGAAATTGTGTCCCAGGCGAACCTCGAGGATTGGCGTAGTGGAGTGACCGCTTCACTCCATCCTTTAAAGTTTTGAATCCGATCAACGGCACAGCTCCCCAGTTAGTTCTCTCATTTGCAAATCCTGCTTGGCTACAGCTGCCTACTGCTCCTGTTTAGCATGTCTACTTCTTCGATCAATCGAGATGCTGAATGTATTCATATTGGCTCAACGGTTTCCTTCTTGTTTCAACATAAGATTTTGTAGGTGAAACCAACTTATAAAAAATATTTGGATTTCATGTTTTCGTTATTGCTTAGATCTAGTTAAATGTACTTTTCTTTTAACTCATTCCGTGATTTGCTCCCGCTGTCTAGTTGTTTTGCACAATTGCACGAACGTCCTCCCACCACTCCGGAAGGTGTGCTAGACTTAGACATGCCAATGCGTGATACAATAGGACAGCGATCTCCAGATCATTTGGTGGTTGGAGAATCATCCACTCTACCGGAAGACGATCCACACGCTTCCCCGACCAGTTCGGTAACCACCAGTACAAGTGGAACTGCCCAGTTGGAAAATTTACGATCTGGACAGCGTATCACTTGTCCGATTTCCATCCGGTGTCTTCTTCCCGGTCCGAGATCCCTTCGAGTTCAATTAGCCTACCAGACCGCATTGCCCAACCCGGTTGTGCCGGACTTTCTGATTTATATCCCTGGTGATGCACCCGCAAGCGATAGTAGCCAGGCTACACCTGGCCAGTCGTCTATAATGGCTGTGGACGCGTGTCGTTTAGAGGCCACTCGTGATCGTCTGATTCGAAGCCATTGCGTGAAAAGTTGGCAGATCGACTTAGATGTTCGGGAACCTTTCGGACTGACTTGCCATACACTGTCACTGGAGGTACGCTTTTTTGCCATACATGCTTGAGCACATATTTATTTATCGGTGCTCCCTGTCTGTGTACCATGATAGAACAACTTGTGTTCAAGTGATTTGGTGGTCAGTGACAAGTAAAAGGTATGCCACGATCTCCATCTGTTTCTAATCCGATACTGTTGACAAAACTGGACGTCACTGAAATAACAAAGATAACACTACTTCATGCATTGTGAGGACGCATTTCAGAAAATGATGACTGGTGCAGTTCATGAACCTGTGCCGAAAGAACGATATACCAATGATAAAAAGTATGAATAAAGCGATGGCGTGATGCGGTTACATGTTCACTACCGTGCGCAGTTAAACAGCGTCTCTAGCCAACTGCTATCTGCGTTCTTGAAACAAGAAGACAAGATGATCTGTTGGTGTCGCTCACATCATGTAGAATGATAAATGAGGCACTGAATTTAGCGGTAACGCAATTGGTCGTTTGTGTCATTTAAACTTGACTCATTCTCACTTTAAACAAACAACACGGAACGGTTAACACTCGTCTGCTACGTGTAAACTTGAAATAGTTACGTCGATCCGTATGTGATTTAGTCATTGCTGAACTGATATATACAAGTCGTTCCTCCAATAGTGAACAAAACTGCGTAACCGTTACTCTACTTCTTGTTTAGTGGGGATTATCGATTCAGGAACTTCATGCTGCTCCTCGGTCAATCCATCGGCTCTGACAATGTAATGTTAATTCTTTTTGTCGTGCCGATAAGTTATGAACGAAATGGAAGTGCTTGTTGTGTCTCTAGTTTGTTTGATTCGGGATTATTCTTTCACATAACCTTCGGAACATTGCGGATGTTCCGGTTGATTGAAAACATCCCTCTGTTCATCCAACGTGGAAAATTCACGCGCCTCTGAATGTTACGGCTTATTCTCTTCTCTGTTGCACGATTGTGAATAGAGGAATACAAATTGATTGGGAATGGTCGAAATGGTTGCCTTAACACCTGAAAAATTTTTTTGTGCCCAGTTGTATAGAACAGGTGCATAATGATTTTAGCTTTCGTCAACTTTGATACCCTCCATTCAATGCAAATTTTTTCTATTTTACTCGGGACGCGAAAATCGAGCCGAACATGACTGTGGTGGACTGATTTCGACACACTCGACGAAATTTCCATGGAAGCATACTACCGGTTTCGCGGTTCTTATCGCTCGTCAATCATGCGTATCCGCTAACCTTTGGCCATTTTTTCATATACTTGTACACAGGAAGTGTATTTTCGTCAAAATAGCTTACTACTTATTTTAAAATATATAACAAAGATGTATAAGTCATATTTGTTGCAATCAGTAGTCACCCACAAACATTGAATCATAGTATTGATTCATAAATGGACTGATTCTGAAAGAGCTGTCCAAAAAAATTTACCAGGTGTTGCAAATGAGGGTATTGCGACGAAAATATACCGCCTGGGTACAATTATATGAATGAAGAGACAAAAGATTACCTGGTTCCCATGCCTCTCGGGTGGCAAAAACCGTGAAACTGGTGGTGGGCTTCCAGGTAAATTTTGTCAAGTCATTCTCATACTGCTTATTGTAAAATATATATCTATGCTTTAGGCACAAAGCGGTCCAAATTCTGATGCTTCCCATTCATCGCTCCTCCCCCTCGTCCGCTCCGCTTGTCCTTTTGTCCACTAGCAATCTCCGATTTCTGATTTGATCGTCGGGGAGAATTTTCTACTCTACGTGACCTTGACCAATTCCTCCTCGTGCGAACTGGAGATCGTAAACACGCGTTTTGAACTGGTCAGTTCTGTCGATTGCCATCAGTGTGCTTGTGTGCGTGTCCTCGAGCTCGCCCGTATGTATATTGTTTATGCGCTCCACTCTTGTTGATGCTGGTCTCATTTAGTTTGGTGCTTCACATCTTTTGTCTACTCGAGAGCATCACTCATGGATATTTTGTTCCCTGTTACAGACACCGAACGTTTCATTTGCTGATAAAGAACCAGACGAGCAGATTGCCAACTGTAAGTAGTTGATCACTGTTCGTGTATGTGTCGTTATGTAATCGTTTTCTTTGTTTCTCACTTCAACTCTTCCATTTGCATTTCTGATGGACCGTTTTACAGTCCGTTACTCGAGCGGTGATGCCCTGTTGGTCAAAGTCATCGATATAGCGAACCTAGTTATTTTGGGTTCGAACCGCGCCACCGCTACCCATCTTCCGCATTTTTGTATTTCCCCTGGTGGCCTTTGTATGGCCTGACCCACAAGGTAGCGGGGCGATGTGTGAAAGCTGCAATCCATTGGGGGTCGGTGATCGAATCTTTACTTCTTTGGACGGGGTCAAACGTCATATTCACGTATCCCTGTGTCTAGGCTGCACTGGATTAGTTCAAATCAACCTATTTCATTTCGTTGGTGTTCTCAATGTTTTCTAATTCATCTGAGGTACTAACTCCATTCGTTATATGTTATCACGCACAGGAGTTCTCTGCTGACTACCATCAACAAACATTATTTTCGTATTGTTTCACACTACCTACTGTTTCTTCTTTTCAGTGCCTTTGTCGTCCGACGATTGTGCCAGTGAATGTCAAGTATTATTAATCAGTCAAACCAAACCGGGAGAAGAGGTGGTCAATTTGGGCAGCTATGTCGTACAGTGGCGAAGGTTTGTTGATACCCTTCATCCCGTCCGGTGGAATGGTGAAGAGATCGGTTTATTCCTCGGCTTTGCTTCGCCCTGATTTACTTTTTTTCACCATTCGCTTCCTACTGCACCCCCATTAGCGCGTAATTAAATCCACATACACAGGGGGAGAAAGATGGGTGTTGATGGACTTGTGGTCAAATTGTTTGCGGAGTATGTTTAGATGCATTGCGCCTTGAAAATAAACTTGATCACAAATAATATCCCGTTTTGCATGATCTATGCACTACATTAACATAGTTCGCAAATTGCCATAACAGTCTGTGCGTCTGTGTTTATCTTGTAAGTTCCAGAGTGAACTTTTTCTCATGAATGGTGACTTGATGGCAGATGAAAGTCTCCCATCGTTGAGTGTTGTACGTCTAGATAAAGTTGACAGGGTGTTGAGAATCGGTTCTCGTAGCTCGAATGGACCAAATTCATTTTCGCATGTTTTCTCTGCTTGGCCACTCCATCAGCACTGAATATATCACCTCGGCCGGTGATGAGACGTTTGCAAACAAATTACGAAGTTCGGCGAATAGGCGAAAATAAACCTCGAAATTCTATTTGACATACCTAACAAATGTATTGAGCTGGTCATTCCGGCATAACTGAGATCTGTTGAAGAAAAACTCCTCGTTTTTCTTACAGTCCCGTCTATGCCTCCGATAGTATTCCGCTGTGCGTTTTGTGAGTACACTTGCAGGCCGGAGTACTGATACCCAACTGAGAAGCCATTTAGTGTTACAACCCGTTATATCTCCCACCAAATTGACCTGTGAACCTGGCTTGATTGGAAGTAGAGGGCCAACCGGAATAGCTCCATCACTCCGCGCTTACGATGAACGTTCAGGCACGCGTGTGACTGGACTGGCATGGGTACCTGATTGACAAAAAACACCCAATCTACTCCTATGTCATGGTTCCTTCTTGACCTATCGCAGTTAATTTCAATTCCCTACGTGAGGGATCATAATTGTATTCAGTTGACAACTTGCTGTTCCAGTGGGAACCTAGTGCATTACGGCATCTCAAAATGAGCATGCTTCAATGACCACCCAGAGTATTTTTATTTTCTGTCTACACAGCATTACGCGAATCTGGGGGGTAGCCGGACGAGCAATGCTGAGGTTAGGTGAGGTAAATGCGATCGCCCACCGGAACAAATGGTGTACCTCTATATATTACGTTGGTTGGGTATGTATTACGCATGTAAGCAAATAGGTTGCCACGGCCAGCGACGTTTGCCGAGGCTGGTAGTGGGTGAAAGAAAGCCAAGCGTGGTCAAGCTAAGACCTGACATGAGGGTATGAAAACCCTAACCAGGAGTCTGGGTCCTGTTATTGCTCCCTGGATGGGAACTTCGGGATGATCGTAAGCGATGGTTAGACACACTGAGTGTCGCTAACAGTAACGTTCGTGCATCTTGTCACTTTAGCCCACTGAAGTTCTAAATTTTCTCTTTGATCCTACTTTCAATCTTTCCTTTCTTTTTCCTAATGTTCATTCAAAAACAGCAACCAAAACCGGCGCACGATAGTGCACGTTTAATGGTTGTACAAACCGAACTGATTTGTATTTGCATCTGAACGATACTTTTGCACCTTAGAGATGGCTGAAGATTGTTCTTTTTTACTGTCCTTAGTGCATTCAACTGGTGGTATGGTTCATGCTTATTGCTCGGCAGTGAGAGAGGGCAACTGGATTCCTGATTCCCACAAACCGAACTCCATACCACCGTCGTAGCATAGATAAGCTCTGATCACCACGAAAAATGGATGGCAACAACAGGCTTCGAAAGTTGTACTTGATGGGTTGGCTTGTGCCAACGAAACTGGCTAAGAGCGCACAATCACCGCTTCTCGGATTATCTCTGAGGGTTACATCTGAACAAATTTGGCCGGCTTTTTCTCTCGATCAGGTACTTGGCACAAATAGCTTCCATCTAAGGCATTCCAGAGTTGAAATTCCGTACAGGTGTGCATTCCTGACGAGCCAAAACAAACGAACAACTTCATTCTATCTTCTCCTGATTGTATAATTGATTGAATGAATTGCGCATTGTGCGTGAAGATGTAGTTTGAAAAATCGTCGTTACAGATCAATATAACTTATCCGACATCACTACTCACAAGTAACTGTGAGTTGAAACGGATAACGTACAACTACCCTGTGCAGCTCCATCCATCTCGGTTCATCCCGATTGGGATCTCATTTGTGTGCTAAAACCTCATTATTCAACAGTTTGTATACATACATCTCACACGAAATCGGTTAGAATCAAGTAACGATTCGGACCACTCACACACTTTGTTTTTTCCAAAAGAATACATTCCTCAAACGGTTCGGATTTCGCTGACCAAACCGAATCCCCGCTGGTCACAACCGTGTTTCCTTTGCTTTCCTGCTCCATCTTGGAATTGCCAGTTCGTGTACGAGTGGATATTCCCGCGTTTGGGACACTGCTCACTCCGATGGATGTCGTATACGTGTTTGAAAATCAGACTATTTATCCACAAGTAAGTGTGTAAATATGTGTGTGTGCTCGGTCATTGTAAACTGTCAGACGCTATCCGTCATGATTTGCGCTCTCTTTATTTCCCAATGAGTTTTTGAAGAAGTTGCAAGTCGTGATGTGCGAAATAATAACGACAATATAGTGTATAATAATAATGATAAAAATTAGATAAACTGATTGTTTTCCACTGTCTTGTTTAAATCCACTCTCATCACTGTCGTTACATTCTCACCTCTCTTTCCTTACTAGGAGGCACAAATTATTCTGGAACCCTCACCCANCCCAGTTTTATGTTCTCCGGACAAAGTAAAATGAAGGTCCGGCTCTTGCCTGGTTCTCCCCAGTATTTGAACTACGTGTTTCTTCCACTTCGCTCAGGAAATGTAGTGCTACCTCGGTGAGTGTCATCCAGGCGTGTTTGCTGCCTAGCACATCAACCTCATTTTCCCCTATATCGAATACCTCATGTTTTGTTTTATCCCTTTTTGAACCTCGCTTTGTGGCTGGACAGTGAGCCTACCGACAAGGTGGTCATTTATTCGGATTTCAACATGGCCACCCTAGTTCTGGTCTTATTTATCTCCTGTGGTGTGACTCGTTCTTCTGCTATTTGACCATGTCATGGAATATGCAATAACGAAACTTGGAGTAATACGTCTGGTTGATCTGAATGGCTGATGCATTCCAGCTAGTATAAGTTAAAACTTTCGTTTTATGTTTGTATATTTTCCTTTTTATTGGAAAGCCAAACAAATTTGCATTACGCAAATGGTTGTTTGGTAGATTAAAGTTTCTCTTTGATGCTGATATGTTGGCATAGTTGTGAATAAGCGAGACCGAGTCTATTTGCCAATCTGTTTTTTTATTAGTCCCTGCGATCATCCCAGTTTATCGATTAACTCGTTATCTTTTGTTGTCTTGTCACGGTTAATTCTTTGTAATCCCTTTGGGAGAAAATAAAACAGTCCTCGTTTACCTCTCAGTCACTTGTGAGTAGTCGCGTAGGATTAGTTATGTGTACTTGGACTCATCATCCTTCAAACTTCACTCTCACACAATCCCCAGTTCGTGCAGCCAGCTTCACACTCAGTTTCACTCTTGTCGGAACTCATGAGTAGTGCATATCCAGCGACCCATTCAGGATTTTCACTCCGTTTATTGTTTATTGCAGATTGCAGTTAGGATATCACTAATTCAGCATACATAACACAAATTTCATTTGAAACATATTATTGCCATTCCCGGCAACACACCGGGGGTAATGACTGGAGCAGTTGGTAGTTATTCTTTGAGACACAGCAATTTGCCCTCGGTAGTCTTGCTAATTCTTGATCGTTAAAAGAAACCACCAACCGCACCATTGCGCATACTTCTCATAAATGTGAGTAGTACCTCAGGACAATAGTAACGTAAGGAGACGATTTGTTAACCCTGTTCGAAATGAAAGAATTCCTGTTTCGTTTTTGCTGCTAACTAACAGATCTTCCTCATCCCTTAAATTGTTCGTTTCGCTGCCCGCCTTCATTATTGTGACGGTTGTATTAAAAGGCGATTCCCAAGCCCGTGGGAGATTCCCATCGTCTGGTATCACTGATTAGCTCTACCAGCTCATTTCTCTTCTCAACTTTCATGTTCCCCTTCCGGGACAACATGATGCACACGACGCATAGTTCTACCCAACGGTCTCTTCGCATTCAAAAGAGATCACAGAGTTTTTATTGAAGAAAAACAATCAGAATCCCATTCCGAAGACGTTCCATTGAATGTTTCTCTCTGTTTTCTATTCTTTTCCAGGCTCAGAGTCAGTTTGACACGGCTCGGTCATACGGGGTCAGCTGAACAGCACACACTCAAACTGCACATGGAAGAGAAGATGCTTCGTCCCATACCGGTGCATCTGTTCGTCGCGGTACGTTTGGTTCTCCCTCTCTTTCTGTCTCGTGAATGCATCTACAACACCACTAACTGTGAGAAGAGAACCAGTAAAGCTCTTTTCGAATGATGCCAGATAGAGTTTGTGCCCAGCGCTTTTGTGTGATGAAGAGTGAACTCACTAATCATCTGGGCGTACTGTTCGGTTATAGGAATCAGTGACCTTGACTCTGGTACTCAAAATGAAGACCGATAATAAAGCGCCAACAGGCTAGGCGCGTTATTGCATGGTGATTGTCAGGTTTATACTTCAGACCCTAACACCTTAAGAACACACCGTTTGATTATCGCCATCACCAACTGTCGTATTCGAATGTTCCAACTTTACCATGAGATGATCACGAGCTTGATCAGAGTCACTTATAGCTTCGTGTTCTCTCGTTGTGATCAACCATACTACCTGTGCGTGTGTGTGTGTGTGCATTAGGCTTCTTCATAGGCGACCTCGTGGAAAGACATCGGGTGATTTGAATGAGTGTCTCAAATGGTTTCGCTCTTGGATCTAATCACAACATACTCACCAAATAAAGTCTACCTGCCATCTGTATCATTATTGTGATACGGCTCAACTTCATGCTTCCTTCATTACTCCATCTTCATTGGTTGGTAACCGAGAAACAGCTACCAAAGCCGGCTCACGAAAGGACAAACTAAAACTAGACCAACTAAAAAATATTGAAACTGTCAACCCTAGTGTTGTTGGCTGTTTAGTCGATCGCAGCTGAATCTTAAAATAATGAGGAGCATGTTCAAGGATCAGTAATCATATTTCCTGACTTACAGAGACTCCAAAACTGGACTCAGTTTGACCCAGATCGTAATTTCTATACCCGTCCCCTCTTGTCTCATACTATTAAACAGATTGATTTGAGCATTATTCACGTTCATTTCGGTTCTCTTTTTTGTTCTACTCGATTATCACAATATCGTGGCGAATTCTGTTCAGATACTTTCTTCATTCCTTCTTGCATGCTTATCCGCTAAACCACGTCCATTTTGATCACTTTCATTTCTCGGTTTAATGTGCCATTAATAATTGATTGTCGTCTCTCCGATACCCGCTCCCCCTCCCTTTTTTTCTTGCTCTTTATTTGGATCAAGCCATCTGGAAAGAGTGCTGATCCCCTCGCATCCGATGCTCCGCCTCGCACGGTCACCACTCGTGATTAGAGCACACTCTGATCAGCCTTGCTGTGTCTAGCTAGCATGTGATGGTCTTGTTTGCAACATTGACCCCTCCGGTCCCTGAATGTCTGCTCGATATCTGACGACCTTCACCTGTCTAGCTCTGTGGAGTTCCATGCCTGTTCAACTTGAACTCTCTCTCTATCCCATATCACGTGCTGTGTTCATCCTGTCTTCCACTTCCTCCCTCCCTCTCATAAGCTGCCTCTCAACAAGACAAACTGGGGCGTTCTCATCTCATTTGACCGGTTTCATGTACTGTCGGCCACCATCCTCATCTCTTTCTTCCTTCATTTTATGCAGGCGTTGCTTTGCTGTATTTTTTGTCTTAAAACTTCGTACTTTATGATCAGCAAACTGTTGTTATTGTTGTCATTATTCCGGTTGTTGTTGTTACTATCGTCGTCGTCGTTCTGGTTGTTGTGCTAAGTATCTGCTATGATGATTGTGGCCGTGGTTTCTGGTGGCACCAACAATTGCTGCTGCCCCACGATCTCTGTGACTGTCGATATAGTCCATATACTCTCGTCCCGATTTTCCCTCGAACATCGTATTGCCGGGCCCATACTCGTTCGTTCTTCGGGCTTGTTTTTGTTCTAAACGCTGTTTTCCTCGTTCACGTGCGTGCACAGCACCTCCAAACAGCCGGAATGATCCTGCTATTCTAGCCCACGGGGCCGTACGCACGCACGCACGCACGCACACACGTCAACACACCTTCATGCAGGCATGCCGGTTGACCGCTAGTCCATACGATCTCGGCGAAAGACACATAAACATGTCTGAGCCATAGGCCGCAAGCTTGACCTGATGCTTCGTTTAGTCGCTCATTCCGCGCCTGCGCGCGCACACAACTTGTTGTTCTCCCACCCCTGCGTTTTTGGCTTAGATTCGATTGAATCGGCATGCGAATCACCGTCTTAACTTACCCCTGTATTTCGATGAGGCACGATTTCCTTATTGACCAATACGCCTGCATTTTAGTTGAAATGTGAGATGACTCAGTCACACGCACGCACCCAGTCAACCCCTGAATGTGACTGCCGTTCGCGCAGTCCTGTACGTGTGAGCACACGAATGATTTGTGATCACATGTAGTCTCTTTCTGCTGTCTCGTTGTGCTGCCCACCTTCGTTCCGTGCCTCATTGCCCCACACATGAGTGTCTGAACAAGATAGCCCGGCGTCTGATGTGTTAGGGTCATCGAGAAAAGTACATTTACTGGTTAAGAAACAAGTAGATTTGTATGAGCTGAGGAAGAGCGAGGTTTGAAAAGGAACAGCCGATTTCCGCTGCGACTCACTCGCACAACAAAAAGCCGGAACAAGCAGTGATAGGTGGAAGCATGAACAGAATAGACGAGAAACTTTTTCCGTTTGACAGGATATTTGCTACTTGATTGAATTTGGAAGCACAGTGTGTGTTAGTTTATTTTATAATATTGCAATAGGCAGCAGTTGGGATGAACACGCTTTTATAGCATTGGTATGTAGAGTGACAAAGACAAAGTCGTTTCGTCCTGTTTGGGTCTATTCAGCATCACGTACTGTGTTTTCCTGTCTTAGGGTCTCGAACCACAAAACCGAAACCGAGTGAACAGTTAACATCCTGAGCTCATGTGAACAACAGCAATAAGCAGAACCCGGTTTGCGTGAGTGCGCATAGTAGTAAAATCAGGACCGTACCGGAAGATTTTTATCTTGGAAATATCTATTGTTCGGGTCTTACCAAAATAGCACAGATGTGAGTTGGTGGTCTAGATATATTTTAAGATCACGAACGAACATGTTCAAACGCGAACATTTTTACTGGTTGTTTCATAAGAATTTGTTGAACAAACTCCATAATGTGCTGTTGGATTACACAAATACAATCTAGTTTCCGATATGTCTTAGCAACCCGGGATCGGCATTAACTGTGCATCCCGCCCCAGCCAGGAACTTGTGTCCTTAACGGCCGTTCGAATGAGCTTGAGACGAGAATGAACAAACCAGGCCGTAATCAACCTCGGTCGGCCGGGTGAAGAAAAGAATCGCGTCACAATTGAATTCTAAATCGGTCGCCGCGCTCAGGCGTCAATACTGGCATGATTCATTACATGAGTGGATTCAGTTTAGGCTCTCAATAGTCTATGCCTAATTCAAGTTTTCCGAGCATTACCTCAAGTTGTCTTGGCATCTTTTCAAGCTGCCTCGTTGACATTTTGGGTCTCCAGCTCCGATGGGTTGATCCCATAGACTTTTAAAGATGCAGGTTCAGCGTTAGTGTTGACGAAACTCCTGGGCTCAATATAGGAGAGGGAACATGTTCCAACTGAATTGTGTGAACCGATCATCTTGCTGATTTACTAGAAAGATGAATTCTATTGTGAAAACCACAGGGGAATTAATTTAATCAACATTTTTTTCTGAACTTCTCGCCGGGTTCATACTCTGGCGATTATCTACCTCAAGTGGACGCGTGAGAATCAAGCTACTTTTGAACCTGGTTGAGGTTACACAGACCACATCTTCACTGTTCGCCAAATTCTAGAAAATAGATACGCCTTTGGTAGACACACGATTCAAATCTTTCTCGATCTGAAAGCAGCTTTTCACTCAGTCGATCGTTCTGCACTCTGGCGCTGCCGCTCGCTGAAGGGTGTGCCCGAGAAGTTTATTTCAATATTGCGATTATTTTATACTGTAATCCGAGTCTGAGCTTGCGGCACCTTTTCGCGCGAGTTCACGGAAAGTGGTGTTCGTCAGGGTTGTCCTCTCTCTCTCTCTCTCGTTTTCTGTTTAACTTGTTAATCGAAGAGGATAGTGGCATCGATTTGCTCCCAGATGAATTTCTGGAGTATGCAGACGACATCGTACTGCTAAGTGAAGATCCAGGTATGTTGCCAGCCTTTCTGAATAATTCGAGTGCTAGTTTAACCCTGTGCGGTATGTGTTTTGCACCTTCAAAGTCTAAAAGGTTTCCTCCGAAAGTATCAGTATAGTCGGGGGTGGGTGTCTATGGTTGCGGTTGGTCACCATTCATCATGGTACAATAATCTTTATAAAAAAGAAAAATTTTTCTATTATTTGTATGTGGGCCAGGTTGCGCAGGCCAAGGCAGGTGAATATTGTTGAGAAATCGACAACTGAAGCCTTTGGCTAGCCAAAGCTAACCACTCTCACAACCGGGAAGATATATATATATATATATATATATATATATATGGTCTCGGTTTGACTTCGGGAAAGTATAAATAGCGTGATGTGTGATAAGAGCAGACTGTTGACGCATCGCTTTTTACAAAAGGTAATAAGATCCACCGCACAAAGGATCAAACAATAAGAGCCGACATTTGGCACTCCTCCCCCCCTGAACGGTAATGTTTACATACCGATCTTTCGGTATGAAAAAATTATTTTGATTTATTGGTAAGATATAAGTTCGAATGACGGTCTTATTTTATGGGTAAATTTGACAGTTATGTCTTTATATATAGCAGTACATAAGGTCTTTTTGTTCCACATCGTTGTTGATTGCGAAACAGAAACTAGGAGTAACAATGCAAAATAGTTTTGAGAAAAATATTTGGTGCTGTTTTCACACCATTTCAGAGATCTATTTCACGTTTGGTTCACGCATAATCTATATTTCGGATTCCGATCCGGACTACAATTACCGTGCAAAGAACGTGGTTGGCATGCGTAAGTTGTCTCGTTCGTTACTGCTGCGAAAAGGTCAGAAGCCTCGAAAGGTTCGGAACCTATGCACGGTCGCCATTGCTGCTATACTAACTGGGCGGCGAGGCCGCTTTGATCTCAGACCGCAGCTACCAGTGCATATGTTGTACGATGGCGTCCATCCAAAATGCTCTAAAAGGCACTCGATGTTTCTGTGTGTGTTAACATTACTCATTGTATCCACCATTCTGGGTCATCCGCGAGAGTCAAAAACGTTTACATTCCCACTGTTTTGGATGTATGAATTAAAATTGTTGTTAAAATTGTATACTGTGGCTCGATTTGTGTACAAATCTTTCCAATTGAGAGTGTTTTGGCATTAACTGATAGCAAACACCAGCACTTTCAGTGTTGATTATCTGTCCTCGCTTTTCAGTGTATTCATCTCCGCATGTTTTCTGAAATTCGGCATGTCTCCTTTTTGCTGAAGCAAGATGTACTATCACAGTCCAAGTGGTGAACATCTGTAGCCTAGACTTTCTCAAGTTATTTGTTCTGATGCCAACCTATTGTCATCGCGACCAACACAAAGATCAAAAACTTCCAAACATCTAGTCGTTTCCATGCACACCAACTCATGCATAAGCTAAGTTGCTACACCGTTATCTTTCATCCCGCGGGGCTAAACTTTTCGTTCGCAGTTGTGTGTGTGAGTGCGTACGTTGGTTTTATTTCAATCCGAACCCCTTACCAGACCTCATGGGGACACTGGTTTGGCCCAGTTATCATTGGTTATCCGCATACAACAGACGACTTTACGCGGGTAGATACGTAGCCGATTGCATCCGCCACCATCATCGTTCACGGTATGACATTCGTTGTAAATCAATCTGTGTGCCATTAACCTTCGCCCGTTTGTCTGTGACTAAAACAATAGTTGATATCTAACACTATCCGATCCCGGTTTCGTTTGTCTGCGAAAAGAACACACCACACCTTCTTACCGCGTGGCATTTNCATTGTGACGAAAAATGGACAAACAGGTTTTCCGGTTCAATAGAGAATTGTTTATCATTCTGCCGTTGGAAAACAGTGTAAACAGTGTTCAAGACTTCAGCAAAAAAACCCTTTATGCGATTGTGATTCTGTGCCATGGATGAGAGTCACCATAACAACCCCAACCCCACCCTTCTTTGGTGAGCATTGGTGTGATATCTGACAAAGTTACATGGCACATTAATCAATCCACAAAATTCGAATGTGGGCGTTCCCTTTCATGTGGAAAAAGGTGAGTGAGATTCGTTGATTTAACAACTCCACAAGTCT